GGATCCCATCGCCAACACTTCCTTCAAGTATCATATCTATCACAGCGGTGGCGATAGGGCAGAACATGGAGTAGGGTTCATAGTGATCGGGAAGCAGATGAAGCGTGTTATGCGGTGGAGACCGGTAAGCGACCGCATCTGTGTATTAAGGATTCGGGGCAAATTCTTTAACTACAGCCTGATCAACATCTATGCGCCAACCAACGATAAATCCGATGACGTGAAGGACGCGTTTTATGACAGTCTCGATAAAACTTATGATGAGTGCCCAAAACACGACGTGAAGATTGTAATCGGAGATGCAAATGCGCAGGTCGGGAGGGAAGATTTCTTTCGTCCAATCATTGGTACAGAGAGCCTACATACAGTAACCAATGATAACGGCCTGAAAATGATAAACTTCGCCGCTGCTAGAGGTATGGCCATCAGTAGCACCTACTTTGCACGCAAGAATATCCGAAAGCACACCTGGAGACACCCAAATGGCGAAACTTGCACCCAGATCGATCACATGTTGGTGGATGGCCGGCACTTCTCAGATGTCATTGATGTAAGGACTTTTAGGGGGCCTAACATTGACTCAGATCATTATCTTGTTGTCTGCAAAATTCGGGCGCGTCTATCGACCGTTACGAATTCAACGAACCGGAGATCGATGCGTTTCAATATCCATCGCTTGTCAGTAGAAGGTGTTTCTGCAGAGTACCGCCAGAAGCTTGATGAGCGGATTAGCGAAATCAACGTGAACGAGGACGTCAACAATCTGTGGAACACAATCCACGGAGCGGTGAACACAACAGCACAAGAAGTGATAGGTACAGCTCAAAGACGACCACGTAATGGCTGGTTTGATGAGGAGTGCCAGAGGTTGACGGATGAGAAGAACGTTGCCAGAAGCCGGATGTTAGTGTCTGGTACCCGGCTGAACAGAGAGCGGTACAAGGTAGCAAGGGCAGCTGAGAAACGAACCCACCGCAGAAAGAAAAGGCAATACGAAGAACGCGTGATTGCTGAGGCGCAAGAAAGTATGGAACAGAACGATATGCGAAGGTTCTACGCGACTGTCAATGGTGTGCGGAGTAAAACAGCGCCATCTCCCGCCATGTGCAATGACCTTGAGGGGAATTTGCTGACAGATAAAACAATGGTGGCTGCCAGGTGGAAAGAACATTTTGAGACATTGTTGAATGGAGAGAGTGAGGGAGTATCGAGGAACAGAGTAAACATCGCAGACGACGATCAAGCTGTGGAGCCTCCAACGCCAGACGAGGTTAAAAAGGCAATACGTGAGCTGAAAAACAATAAGGCTGCTGGGAAGGACGAGCTCCCGGCCGAACTTTTTAAACACGGAAGTGAGCAGCTGCATCAAGCAATCCACCGTATTCTAACGAAGATATGGGAGGACGAAGAACTGCCTGCTAGCTGGTTGGATGGCCTCATTTGCCCATTATTCAAAAAAGGGCACAGACTCGAGTGCGCCAATTATCGAGGAATAACTCTTCTGAATTCGGCGTACAAAATACTGTCACGCGTTCTGTTTAACAGATTGAGACCGCTTGAGGAGTCCTTCGTCGGTGAATACCAGGCTGGTTTTCGTGAGGGCCGATCAACGACGGATCAAATGTTTACCCTGCGTCAAATCCTTGATAAATTCCGGGAGTAAACAACTTGCAGACTCACCATCTGTTTATTGATTTCAAAGCAGCATACGATTCAGTGAAGAGAAATGAGCTTTGGCAGATTATGCTAGAACATGGTTTTCCGGCGAAACTAATTAGACTGATTCGCGCAACGCTAGATGGATCGAAATCAAGTGTAAGGGTTGCAGATGAGATTTCGACCTCGTTCGTGACCTTAGATGGATTGAAGCAGGGTGATGCACTTTCAAACTTACTGTTCAACATTGCTCTTGAAGGAGCGATTAGGAGAGCTGGTGTACAGAGGAACGGTACCATCATCACACGATCGTACATGCTCCTTGCCTTTGCGGACGACATCGATATCATCGGAATTGACCGTAGAGCAGTGGAAGAGGCGTTTGTGCCTTTTAAGAGGGAGACGGCGAGGATTGGGCTCACGATAAGTTCTACCAAAACGAAGTACATGGTAGCCGGTAGACAGCGTGGGAGCAATAGTGGTGTTGGTAGTGTAGTGTTGTTAGATGGTGAACAATTTGAGGTAGTGGAAGAATTTGTGTATCTTGGAACACTAGTGACATGCGATAATGATGTTACCCGCGAGGTAAAGAGACGTATTGCAGCTGCAAACAGGGCCTTTTACGGATTACGTAGCCAGCTGAAGTCCCGTAGCCTGCAAACGAAAACGAAATTCGCTCTGTATAAGACGCTGATACTTCCGGTAGCCCTCTACGGCCACGAATCGTGGACGTTAAAAGAGTCTGACCGGAGAGCATTTGGTGTCTTCGAGCGTAAGGTGCTGCGAACAATACTCGGCGGTAAACAGGAGAATGGCATCTGGCGGCGTCGCATGAATCACGAGTTGTACCAAGTGTATAACGGTACGGATATAGTGAAGCTTATAAAACACGGCAGACTACGGTGGGCTGGGCATGTAGTGCGGATGCCGGAAGAACGACAAGCAAATATTATATTCAGCAGAGAACCCGGTAGAGGTCGTCGACTCCGGGGTAGACCTCGGACACGTTGGCTATTTGCAGTTGAGGAGGACATCAGGTCGCTAAACGTTCATGGCGACTGGAAGCGATTGGCTCAGGACCGAGTCCAATGGAGAAGAGTACTTCGTTCGGCGTTGAATCAACCTGGCGATTCGTAGCCCATCAAGTATCAAGTATCAAGTATCAAGCTTGATAGGCAAGGGATCGGTGGAAATGTTTTGAGATGGTTTCGTTCATACCTCACGGAGCGCCAACTGACCGTAACTTTGGGTACTTGTCGCTCAGCAAGCTTCTGCGCAAAGTCCGGTATACCTCAGGGTAGCCATCTGGGACCATTGGTATTTCTCTTTTACTTCGACGACGTTCACCATGTTATAACAGGGCCACGATTACCGTTTGCAGACGATCTGAAAGTTTTTCTGCGCATCCGCTCACTCGCCGGCTGCGGTTCTCTCTAAAATCAGGTTGACTTCTTTGCTGACTGGAGTAGTCTAAACCGACTGGTGGTCAACTTTCTATCTTTGTCACGCAAGAAACAACCGATTATTTTCAACTACAAATTACTAGACAAACGACTATCGAACGAGTGCATTGCGTGAAAGACTTAGGCGTTTTTCTAGACCCAAAGCTGACATACTCACACCATATATCGTATATCGTCGACAAATCGTCCAGAACTCTTGGCTTTGTCTTCAAGCTTACTAAGAACTTCACAGACATTTACTGCTTGAAATCGCTCTTTTTTTTATGGCTTTATTAAAGAGATTTTTAGCCTTAGGCTAGTTCATCTTAAGATGAAATCGCTCTATTGCTCTCTCGTACGATCTACGTTGGAATACTGCTCTGCAGTCTGGAGCCCGAACTACAATAATGGGGCCGAGCGAATTGAATCTGTGCAACGACGTTTTCTTCGCTTCGCCCTCCGTAATCTGCCTTGGAGATACCCACGTCGTCTTCCAAGCTACGAGAATCGCTGCCAATTGATCAATGTCGAGCCCTTACGTATCCGAAGAGATGTTTTCAGTGCCTTAACCGTCGCCGATACTCTGCAAGGAAGAATCGACTGCGAACCAATTCTGCAACATTAATGTTCAACCTCGATCACTACGCAACAGTCTTATGCTGAGACTTCCACTTCTTCGAACCAATTATAGCCTAGGGAGCGCTATTTACGGCTTGCAGCGAGTGTTCAACCGAGTAGCGTCGATGTTCGATTTCCACTTGACACGGAATATGCTTCGCCGAAGATTCTCTGCCTTTTTTGCTGACCGAAGGCGCTTGACGCCCTACAGCTAAGTGTAAAATTTAAGACTTATACACTTTTAGTAACTTGACAATGCTTTCCTAGTTATTTTCGTTTGTAACTGCACTATATGCAGTCTGTATAATCTGTACTTTTTTTACAACATAACATTGGGACTATTTCTAGTCTGTTGATGCAAACATAACAAATAAACAAATATCGCACAACCGGGAAAATTTACCAAATTCCGGGGAAAAAAAACTCGGAAATTGCTAATCGAGATTTGCTTGTCACCATGCTTGATGTTGATCGAAATTATGGTACGATTGGATAACAGCTTCATAAAAATCTGTTGGAGTTTAAGAAAGTTATTGATTATATTCATGGTTCAAGTAAAACAATTTGCATAATTTTTGTTTTCTATAATATTTTTTTATTGATTACCTATGTGTACAGATGTTTGTTTTTTGTTTTTGTTTTATCATGCGGTTCCAATATTAAGATAGGTTTCAATCATTATTTAAACGTCGTCTTAATTGTATTCCAGTTTCCATATGTTGGTTGTTTTTGTGTTTCCTGATGTTTATTTTCTGTCCATCTGTTTTTTTTGTTTTGCTCGATTTAAACATAGTTTTCTTTATTTATAAAACTCTACGTAAACCTAGAAAATAATTAGCATTTTTGTTTTACTTCCACACTGTTTTCTGATTCTTCTTTAATTCTTCGATTATTAAAAACTTAAAATTTTACACTGAATCGATCCAAAGCTTGATAACCAATTGTTTTCGTATTTCAACATCCTTTCCATTCAAGGAGTGTTCAAGATATTAAACCACTCAGCACACTTATAGAAACAATAACCGAAAAATTTGATCCTGTTCATGTTCTGTTTATTTTATCGTAATCTAACGAGTTTGTTGGTCTACGACATTTTCAACTATCCCCGTTCCCTCATCCCTCGATCGATCGAACCCATTCCCCTAGACATGCTTCTTTCGTATCGCGGAAATGTTGCATGCCAAAAACGAAAAAGAACAACGAGACCTCCTACAATGCAATTGCGGTAATATAACGAAACTTTAGAACTGAAACGGAACGTGAAAACATAAAATTCACACTTCATACTTCGAGAGCCCTTCCTCTCCCCCTAGATGAACTTATAGAGATAGTTTTTACAGTAGTTGTAATTCCGCTCGCTATGGTGCTGTCAACTTTTGCCCTCCAGGTGCTTCGGCGTGTCGGCGTAGGTGAACTTGAGGCGGAACGCTTCCGCCACCAGGACGCCGATATGCGAATCCATCCAGCTGTGGGTCGGCAGGTTCTGCAGCAACAGCATGAGGCCCTGTTGGAGGAGAGGATTCGGTTGAAATGATGTAATTGTAGTTAGTTGGAACCGTATTATATACATTACACCCCTATTCAGCATTCCGTTCAAAACGGATTCCCCATAAGAAAAAAAAAAATATGGGAAATCTGTGTCGAACGGAATAGAGATCAGGGGTGAGAGTCTCACACAAGAGCCTTTGAACTGACGTTAACCGGAAGTCATTTCCATTTGTATTTTTAATATTTTTTGCGCGTTTCGCACAAAAGTAGACTCCCCACTTGCGTTAAAAATAATCCCTCAAAATTTGTTTCATCCTACTAAAAAAATGTTTTCAAACTTTTATCACCATTAACTAGTAGGATATGTGAGCCAGTTTTGGTACTAGTTCGTAAGCATATTTAGTTTTCCCATTTTATAAAATAGAAACCCCCATGTTGTGTGAAGTAAGCTACATCCCTCTATTGAAGTTAAGGCTATTCTGAATATTGATACGTGACATATCTGTTAAATTTCAGTCACAATAATCTTAAGTGTCGGAACAAATGAATTCTTTTTCTTTTGCGACTTAAATTTATGTCATGTAGAATTTTGCTACTGTGTTACCTAACTTATAACGAATATACGAGGATACGAGTACCCCGAATACAACGTATAGTTCGTCTAATTTTACATTTCAAATCCTATGCAAAATAAGACGAGTCATACGTTGTATTTGGGGTACTCGTATACAACGTATATTCGTTATAAGTCAGGTAACACAGTAGGTCTATGTTGCGCGGCGTGTGAGGTGACTGACAGTCAAGTGACATCGAGTCACCTCACCTCATACTAAAGAGCCTGAATTTATAAAGATCTTATCCATTTGACAGGTCTTCTGCTCGATTGGAATGACTTTTCCTAAGATTTTGACAGATAATCGATTTTTCCAATTTTGACATGTCGTCTCTTTATAAATTCCGGCTCTTTATATGCTTTTTTGTTATTGCTCAGTTCACACCCTGGCAGGCTACTGCCTACCGATCTGCACTTAAGCCAGGCATGAACCTACGGAAATTTAGTCGTGGCCTATGCTAGAGCGTATAGCATAACGACTTTCCTTTCACTAGCAGGCTTTTTGGTCCCACTAGCGTCCTATTAGGGGATAGTAAGAGATTAAAAGAATAAAGAAGAGAGATGTTGTTGTTTTGCTGAAAAAAAAAAGCACGTTGGCTTGTTGTGCAACATCAAGTTTGTTCGCTTTCATTCCGTTCCAAGGGGCAACGTCCATCGTCGTCGTACTCAAATACCTGGGAACATCCAGAGGTGCACAGGGCCAACGTGCAAGACTTCCATTCTGGGCAGCTGCTTGACCTGGGCCCAAGTATAATTCCTATCGGCTTGCTTAATTTACTTGTTAACGCTCCGTCGCCTTAGTATTTGCCTTTGCTGCGATGTTCTGGCGGATTTAATTCATAATCAAATGCTTGCCTGCAGACTTCGTTTCTATTGCTATCGGCTTCTGATGACATTTACATCTGAGATCCATTTGTGAGGCCACCAGCCACAAGTTATATACCGCAGGCAGCGGTTGATGAGACCTGCAGCAGCTTTTGAGTGTTCTCCACTGGTGCTGCACAGATTCCACGTTTTAATCGAAGTTTCGAATTTTGGTACGTTGACCAATCTGATTTGATCTCCGCTTTTGTGTAAATGTAATATTATCACCGACCTTATTACCATCACCTAAGTGTGTGACATCAGGTGTACGCTCCTCTGTGTTTTCGTTACCAATACAGTTAATATGACACGTTTGTTGCATTCCCGTATGTCTCAATATTATTCTTGCTGAACCACCGTCAAACCCACTATCCAGAGGCAGCGAGCCACCTTAACACCTGAAATTATACAAAAACAAATCAAACATTAGCACCAACCCCCCCCCCCCCCCCCCCCTTTCTCGATTGCAACAGCTCCAAGCCATGCAACAGGATCATTTCGTGCCCCATGACAACTTGATCCAGTTGCTTAAAGGTTCATTGTTTAGGCGCCAGCCGGGATAGACTTGGTCCTGTACCAAATGCATTCCTTTTCTCCATTCCGCTCAGCTACTCGCAATTGATTGTGATATAGTGGGCGGAATATTATTAAATGAGACAATTCAATGCAGACGTCTTCCAAATTTGGCCGATCGTCAGGTAATCAGTGGGTTACCACCTGGCACCTCTTAGCAAGCACTATGCTACGAAGCAGACCGGAAGTTTCAATGAACAATCTCCCCCTTTCAGGCTCTTTATATGCTTTTTGCATATATTTGACGTTTATTGCATGGAATCAAAAATTAAGAGTGTAGGGTAGAGCGCTACTTCGTCGTAATCGCCCATTTCCGTTATATCGATCAGAAAAGATCAATAATATCAATGATTTCAACGTGCACAAATCAATAATAGGTTTGTTCCGATGCGCTAGCTCATTAGCTACAACATAAATCCTGTTAGAGCGGATTGTATGAATATTTACGCTCATTGTTCTCAAAACAAAAGAAGCGCTGCTAGCGAATCCCCTTTTTCTACGTTTATCCGTAGGACGAAGAAAATCTAATGGCGTTTCAATGCGTTACGACGGAATTGAAACTCGTAGAACGAATTTAGAATCAAGAAGCAGTGTTAGATTTTAGACAATATCTCAACAATTTGTGACTCTTTATCAAATCCAATGGTACGTATGGAAAGGTGAATAAATTTGCAAGTCATATTTGACAGAAATATTACATTTTTTGGTTAAACTCGTTCAGCAAAGAGAGGTAAAGCGCGGGTTGTGCTTAGTAGGACGGAAATTAGATCAAAAATCCTATATCAACTTCTCATAGGCATAGATGTTAAAATCATACCTAAATAAGTAAGTGATAATTTACTGACACAAGCAAGCTGAAATGATATTGAGGTTTGGATAGATACTGAATTTTGGAGTTGGTTGGAAATGCTATCTAGCATGTAGCTTTAGTGTGATAATTTATTAGCTAGAGAATGATCTTAGAAGAAGGGAAGGTGGATAGTTCCGTTAGAGTACGGCAGTGTGAAAATTGATTAGAAATTGAAAATGAGCGAAGGGCCATGAATGCGACAGTACAAAGTCAAACGCACACCTGTTGCCTAACCCGTACGATGTACGCGGAGATTTGAAGTATGTCTTCAAATATACAGGCAAAAAGTGTTCGCCCGCCTTTGCTCATTACCCCACGTTGCCGAGAGCATTTCCAGTCGATGGCAGGATCATTCTGTAGCTAATAAATTATCACACTAAAGCCTTATGTTAGATAGCATTTCCAACCAACTCTGAAAATCGCAAACTTCGCGTATGAAGTATCATAAAAGCACTTTGACTGAATATTGGACATTTCAATATACTGAAGAAAATTTGGATTGTGATTAGAATTCCAGGCGAATATTGAGGAGAAGTTAATTGATCTTCTGAAGAGAATTTTTAAGGAATTCCTGAACCAATATATAGCCAATTTTGAGGATAAATTAAAGGAAAACTAAGCAGAAATCTAAGAGAACTGAACTCTGAAGATAGGTCTAAAGAACTTCTGGAGAGGAAAGACATTTTTTCGAGAGTTTCAAAAGAAATTCTTAGGAGAGTTTCAAGGGAATTCCGAGAAGAGTTCCAAGAAAACTTGGAATAGTGTTCCAAGGAAATCCTGAACAGAGATGTATAGATTCGAAGGTAATGTTGGCAGAACTTCTAGGGATATTTTACGAGATTTCCAATTCTGAGTAAGATTTCAGGACCATTCTGAAGTGAAAGCCATTTCAACTATTAGGAATTTGCAGGCCTCCAATGAGCATACGGAGTAATTTGAGCACTCCCTTCTTCTGCAATATTATACATTATTTGATAAAAATTACTACACATTATTTAGTTTTATTTATCAGACATTTTGTTGTTTTAACGAATGATTCTTAATTCTATCATCAATTCATTCATCTAACTCTTGATTTCTCCAATGTTGGCCATTTAGGCGACCTGTACCGGTTCCGATAGGGCATAAAAGGACACTTCCAAAACCTCATGTACTGGTACCGTCCGACGGCTCGAAATTTATGATTTTTCATCCAGAAGTAAAAAGACATCATGCCATGGACAGTAAGGTGAATTTGGCCACATCCGGATACCCAGAACTGGTTTCGGTGAGGCCCCAAACAGGACAATTCCAAAACCTAATGTACTGGTACCGTCCAACGGCTCAACATTGATGTTTTTTTCATCCTAAAGTTAATAGACATCATGCCATCGACCAACAGGTGGATCTCGCTACATCCGGATCCCCGGAATCGGTCCGGTGGGGCTCATAAAGGACATTTCCTAAGCCTCATGTACTGATATCGTCCGATGGCTCAAAATTTATGATTTTTCAAACAGAAGTGGATCTGGCCATATCCGGCACCTAGACCCGATTCCAGCAGGGCCCCAAATAGGACGCATCCTAAACCTCATGTATTGGCACCGTCCGACGGCTGACCTTTTTTTTTCATCCTGAAGAAAATAGACATCATGCCATGGACCGAATTGTGAGGCCACAATTGGGATCCTGGAACCGACAGAATAGAGGAAGCGGAAGAGCAGTGGGAATGTTCGGCCACAAAAGGAACTGCCAAATTGTTTCCATCATCAGTTTCAACCCGACAGAGGAGGCTGATCGAAGCGACGAGGCATCACTACAATTTGAAAAAGAAACGTGGAGTCACGGTCTGTACTCTCAGGTCATTAAAGGGGGCAACACTCAACTAGTGCTTTGATGTTAAATTGGATTACTTTCGAAACGAGACCCATTTAAACGGACAAAACTGTCAAACTGGGCGCTTCATGGATGATCAATCTGAGTCTTCCATCAGCCTTGGCCTGCAACGAGAATTTTCGGCTGATGCGAGAGGGATGGGAAAGCTACTTTCCACAATAGTTTGCAAATTATTGAGAAAGAATAGATTTTTTCTTAGGATGAGGGGACTAGCATCGAATCAACAGTCAACCACGCTGGG